GGTAGATTTAGCTAAAGACAGAACTAAAAGTAGGTCAGTGGAAATTAGGGACAGGCAGTGCACCTGTGGCTGTATTCTCACATGTTGAGTAGATCAATGTGTACTTTGTTCCATCAGTTATCCTCTACAGTGGCCTACGCTGGGACAATGGGTGCTGTCTGGGTTGCTGAAGATGACCATTCACAGAGGATGTTTAATTTGACAACAATGTGACAACACATGTTGAGGTCACAGTTCAACGCACCATGTGTTAATTGCACTGGGAATATATCATGCATTGCTTGTAACAGATGTGCTCACAGCTATTACAGTTTTGCTGGAAAGACGTTTGTTAGGAATGTGCCCTGCCTTGTGTTTGTGTGTGTTTATGTGTGCCTTTACCAGAGCTGTTCCATGAAGTTGTAGCTATCACACTGGGGTCTTGGGGAAACTCAGACCCTGCAAACAGAGGAAATGGTGGAGACTATTAGCATGTTTCTGGCTGTTGGGCTCTACCACCACTCTCAATTGCTATTTCTCTAGATGGATCACCCTTCACAAATGTACACTGAAACACTGGAAATGTGACAGGCAGCCATTCATTATGAGCTGAACCGTAAAAATCATGCTGCCACCATCTACCGCTGCTCAAATAATCAAAAGTCGCCCCAGTGGCGCTAAGTGGGGAAGTTGAGAATGGTTCAACATGCGAATGCAAATATCCTCTGACACCAGCACAACAGACACACTGCTCTCGCCAAGACCTTATGTACCAATGGGATGCACCTAAATGTTAAACAACAAGAGCCGGCTATACTCTTTCATTTAAGTTAAACAAAGTCAAATAACTAGTAAACATCTGGCTGAAATGATATTATTTATGAAATAAAACAATTGCAAAGATGAAGCCATATCTCAATGTAAAACACTGCCTACAGACAAAAACACACACCGCTTTAAGAGTTCACCATTAAATCAGGTGATTGCATTGTGCACTCGCTGGTGTAGATCAAAGGTTTGAATGTATAACAGGGAGCCTATCAGCGAGCCGTGTGGACCTAATGCTGCGTTATTACCAGCTGACGACAGAGCAGGCCTCTGCTTTTCATTACAGGAGAGACGGGACAGAAAATGGGCTTCAGTGTGCTCTGCCACGGGTCAACAAGGTGATTCCTGTCAAATGAAAAAGCCTGCAGGACTTCAAAATGCAGGACTGACTTGGATGGGACCTGAAACTGTTTTATCTTTGCTGATTCTTTGGACCCACAATAACAATGAGTTCTGCTTTCCATGCTGACTGTGTGTGTGTGTGTGTGTGTTTAGCTTGGTGCAGGCTGGGATAGTTTAACATGGTGAATGAGCAAACGGCTCAAACGCATGCTTAAATCCAAGCATGTGCACTGACTCAACTGTACACACTCAAATGTAGCTGCAAACATATGGTTCCCTACACACACTGTACTTGCATATGTTTCAGCAACACATGTAAAAAGAACACAATAAAACAGATGATTTGTGAATTTTCAACCTAAACGCATAATTGTTACGTGTGGCATGCAGGGTGACAATGGGGAGAAAGTCTGCAGTCAAAAAGGGGCCAGGCGCCCGACCCGGGGTCATGCTAATTGGGTGATAATGTGTTGTTTCACACGTGCTGTGTCTGGATGGTAATGACTGTGTGGTGGTGCTTGTGAAATGAGCTGTGTTAATGAGCAGCTCTTTGGGCCTCTGCACCTGTTAGCGAGGGAGTCTGAGAGCTTGGCAACAGGCTCACAACAGCAGGCGGGCAGCTTTATGAGGGTCAAGATTGTTACAGATATGTAGCAACACTGGAGGGTTGATCTACACTGAAGATAGGTGTGTGTTCACCGTCTGTTTTTTAAAGTAATAACTAATAATCTCTGCCAGCTATGTTGTTTCATATACTCACGAGTTGCGTTACGAGAACAAAAAATGACTGATTTGTTCCTGGAGGCTCCTAAGATGACTATTACTTACTGTTATGGCGAGTCTTGGCCCCGAGGTGGGTCAAAATTCTCTCTGTGTTCTGGGCTGATAGGCTTAAAGACACACAGCGCTCTGTGGTTTACAAAGGACAGAGGAGAAGGGACGTTGCAGCTCACTGGATTCATGAACACAAAGCTAGCCAAGTGCAGCCAGGTGAGAGTCCAATAGAGGGGCTGGACACGGTAATACAAGGGAAGGGGAAGGAGGAGGGAAGCGAGTACCATGAGGAAGTTTATAAAACAGTATGGAGTAAGCATTAGAAGAATTAAAATAAAAAGTTACGTTTTTTATTATAATTTCAGGTAGGTCTACTCTAAGAAAATGTTTTTTTTTTTTTCAGTGTCACATGTGATTTTCATTTATATTACCTTTCCAGATAAGATAATTGTCTAACTAGACAAGAGGTCATTCCCTCAGTTTTCTTCAGTTTCTCTCTCCTCCACTTTATTGCTCCACTATTGAAGTCACATCTGTTAGTTCTTTCATTGAGACAATCATCTGGAATATCTGGGATGAACTACAGAGTCATTTTGAGATTAGCTTTCTAATGTTTCCCAGTAACAGCGGGAAGCAATTGTGTAAGGCCAATTTGTTAATGAGGGCCTAAAAATAGGCACCTTCGCAGAGCCTGTGTCAGGTTAGATCTTGCAGTTCTGGCCCCTGATTGGATCACGATCCCGATTCTGATGTTCTCCCATATGTTAACTGGAGGGGTGTATTATATCTGCTAGTATGAATCAAACATGATCAAAGGTTCAGATAATAGTAGAAAAAAGGAAGAAACTTACTGTGAATTTCATAGGGTTTGAGATTAAATACTAACTGATACTTGTATAAAGTGTTTGACAAATAGTCTGACTTTGACTTGACACTGAGTTAGCTTCTCTTTTTTTTTTTTTTCAATCAGTCAACATTGGTCACGTTTTAACCATCATCACAACCTTTCCCTAACCTTACCCAAGCAGTTTAGTTGCCTAAACTTGACCAAAACTTAACTATTGAGTTGTCAGATCAGGAAATAGTAATATGAATTATTTCTGCAACAGTAATACGGGTTGATTTGAAATGGAACAGACAAAAATTTCATCCCATTTCTCAGAGAATTTATCAGCATTGGTCGAGGTCCGTTTCATGCCGTCTCTTCAGCCAACAGCCAAGCTACCTTTTAGCTGCTCGTCTACCGTTTCAAATCATTTCAGCTGCAAAAGGTCAGCTTCACAGATCTATTAGTGCCCTGATACCATCTCTGCCCATTGGTTTTTATTAAAATGACGATTATCTCAACTGTTAAAACCCCACATTTACAGCAATTTCCAAAGAAAAGCAATATAACCTGGATCATAGTGCCGTGCACATATTTCAATAGCATGTCAGTAGTGATGTGTTGGATGGATATTCTGGATGTTTGACAACCTGTATTATAGTATCAATTTCTCCTCTTGGCTGGCATTGCATATTTCATACAACTGAAGGTTTTGGAACCTCTGCATTCATTTGCAACTGTCTGCCACTCAATTGTTAGTCTAGTGGCAAAACATACAGTAAATGGTTAACATGAAGGTGCCTTTGAGAAGCCCAGACATCAAATCTCGTCACAGAAAGTTCCACGAGAGCAGCCTCTGATCCTCATCCAGCTGTATTTGGCTTATGATGATAAAAATCACGCAGGGACATAAGCTTCACCTCTATAAAGCTCTGAGAATTTGGTGTGACCCTACTGTGACAGCAGCGTATGAATTAGTGTGGAACTTCAAACTCATGGGAATGGAAATGAGTGAGAGGCCTGAAGTAAAGTAAAGGAGAAAGTAAGAACGAGGGAGCCTCAGAGGGTGAAGCTGAACCAAATCAGAAATGTTCAATTTGAGTGGTTATGCATAGCAACTGATATGCTGTTACATGGTCTGGGGGGCTGTGTTTGGAGCCAGGGTGGTTGGTGTGGTGAGTGAGACTGATGTATGAGCTCTCCCGCTCAGTAATTAAGGCCTCTCCAAAGGTCCTCTTCCATCCCTATTAGCTGGAAAACTGACCCGACTCCGGGGTTTATCTGGAAGAACAGCAAACCCACCATTTTCACAGCATAGCCATGTGATATTTCTGTTTTAAAGAGGTGAAAGATAGATATGCGTAGATGAGGAAAATTCAGGAACGATAATCATTTCCTTATCCAATATGTCTTCATCCGATATCTATTTCCATCCAGCAAGTTTATTTTCCTCTTCTTGTGTGCTTACTGTCTCTTTATTTATTTTTTAATTTAGGTAATTCTACTAAAAAAATATTCCCCCTAATCCTCCTTATTTTGATTAGATTTTCCCCTAACCCCCGTCTCATCTCACTTCCCTCCTGTGTGCTTCCCAAAAGGAAGTACTTCATGTACGTCTTCAAGTGAACATCTACTCTTTTTGTATCCCCAACTATGCAGTTACAGACAATCAGAAGAGTGAGATAAGCAGCTAATGTCCCACTGTTGCATGCATCAAGAACCAGACTAAGCACCATGTAGGGCTCAAGCTGCCTTTATAAATTATTAGGCTCAAGATTTGAAAGTGAGCGGAACGTTACAGTCTTTGCGATGGGGATTTGAGAAAATAATTATTATTTCAAGCCAAGAGGAAAAGAGAAAAAGAGAGTAAGGGAGAGAAGAAAAGTGAGGCAAAGGAGAGAAGAGGACTTGAAGATAAATGGAGGAAAGAAGACTTGGAAAATGTGAGAGTGCAGAAAAAAGAAAACTTTTACATTCATAATAAACTCAGAGTGAAGGCGCTCATAAAATCAGCTATTTGTGAAGTGGGCTTCTGTCCCACCAGGCCTGTGTTGGCTGGAGAGTTTATTCATTGTGTCAGAGGTAAAAAAAAACTGTTATACTGGTCATCACAGAGTCAAGGGACCGATGGCCAGCCACAGGAAAGGAGGAGAGTGTAATCCTAGTGGTCCCAGTTCGGTAAAACCTGCAAGACTTTCTTCATTAATAGGTTCTATTTTTCTAGTTTTGGTCATTTCTAAATTCAATAACATTTTACTTGCCAAAGTAACTGCTGAGAGCTGGCAACGGGCACTAAAACAAAGTCTGCTGGGGCAAGAAAGCAACTTAGACGATTTGATATGTTACAAGCTGCAAACGTTCAGCCAGTTTATCTAAAAAATAAACTGTCACAGGCACCCGTAACTAAATTTTGAGCCTACACAACTACACCAAGTAAAGTAGATAAAAAAACGGTGCTTCTGTAAACGTTGGTGGATGTACAACATACTGTTGATAGTTTGGGAATTAGCTTTACTGCCGTCTTTATTTTCTCTTCCAATTATTTCCAATGTGTCTGATTGTTTGATTTCTTGTGTTTCTTGCCAAGTTTGACTTCTTTTTAAGGATAGCCATGTGTTCCCAACTTGGTAAGTACAATGTCTTTATTACAAATACAAATTATACTAAAACTACCACCAAAATTGTAATT